ACAGAGCCTCCTGTCTCACTCCTTCAGTAAGTGTCAGGGGCTAGTCTGTTCATTGAATCCTGATATTCCTCTTCATGACGAGTGTCTAAAGCTGGTCCAGGACCTGAGAGACGTCAAAGGTCTCTTAGTGGATCACCTCTACCACCACCTGGAGCTGGAGGACCTACAGGACTTCTGCTGTAGGAGACACATACCACACCTCATAATGAGGAACCAGGTACTGTGGGCTTAGGGGAATGCATTTATAATGATTAATATCTCTCTCCCTCTCCTTCCTCTCTCTCTCTCTTCCTCTCTCTCTCCTTCTCCCCCTCTCCCTCTCTCCTCCCCTATCTATAGTGTTAGTTACTGATTGATTGTTTAGGAAGGACAGTTCCCTTGCCTTCATGTGGTTCTTCTTCATCATGGTGATCCAGTGTGCTGTCTGGGTCTTGTTTGCTCTAGGTCCTCCCAGTTTCTCAATGTAAGTACACTACCAATATGTCTACTACAGGCTTGGGGCGAAGTACTTTAAAAAGTATTTAAGTACATTACAAGTACCTGTTAGATTTTAAAAATGAGTACGAGTACAAATCCCTCATTTTTAGTACGAGTACTCTATTGCAGTACTTAAGTACTACTTAAGCACTTGACCACACCCAAATAATTAATAAGTTAGTTTTAAAATTAATAAATTAAATCAGACGGTTATTACATCTTATGAACTTTTCAAATCCAAACTGGCCAGTGTCATAGTATGGGACCCACAGGAGGTAAATATATGTGGTTTACACTAGCTAGTATTTATTATATCAACACATTAGCATCAAAAAATGTACTTCAAAGTACTTGTAAGCACTAAAAACATACTAGTATTTAAATACAGTACGAGTATTTGTAATTTTTGTTCAAAAGTACTTAGTAAATACCGAGTACTTTCAAACTTGTGCTTAAGCATGCTTAAGTACGAGTACCAAAGTACTCGCCCCAAGCCTGGTCTACTAGTAGTTAAGAGGATGTGGTTTTTAAAAGGAGAATAATGCAACTTTTAGTTTTGCTGCTGGGCTGGTTTAAAGATGGACATTTATTTTGCTAGATTTGAATTTTATGATGAATAGCACAATTGATGAAGCTTTCAAAATTTATAAAAATAATCTTAATTTTAATTAGAATATCAGCTCAACCAGCAAATATTTTCTAACATTGTTATTGTCATTTCATCCCCTCCCCCTCCCCCTCCAGTGGTATTATTTCAGGTGCTAATGTTATCAAGGCCAGTAAACCAATCGGTGGTATGTGGATAGCTCTCTCCTTCCTCTGGCTATTATTATACTAGGGCCACTTTGACTTTTAAATCTGCATAATGTAATAACTTTCTTATTTTAAATGCTACAGACAGCGGTTTTTTGCATTATGATCCTCTCCAAAACCCCGGTATTTTGATATATGATACAACTAGAGCGCAGTTATAGAAAAGGAGA